ATATCGACACATACNACACACACACACTATATATATATATATATATATATATATGTGCGTGTGTTACGGATATGATGATAGGAGTATGGTGACGATTGTAGTATGAGAGAGTGTTCAGTTCTCCTTAGCAACCCAGTGTCACCACTTCGGCCTTCTACTCCTAGGTACTGGGTTCCCATTGACACAGACCAGAGCATGTCTGACTGAATGCTCGGATCGCTGAAATCGTTGTAAACCATATAAGCACTCCATTCGATTGAGAGTCTCATATATCATTTCATGATTAAAAGAAATTATCCCACCCTCACCCATGTATTTGAGTCTCCTTGCCAAACCAACTGCGCGTGCGATGAGTGCCCAATACATGCTAAACTCAATCTGACATTGCACATCGTCGTACAGCTGTGCGCCATAGAATTGATGTGTTGTGTATATACTGTGTCAACCCCTGTCCTGCAGGTGGCTGAATTGGAGCCAGGGTTTACTATAGCTCCGTACGCGCACGCCGCCATGCGAGGGATGGATATCCTCGCAGTTGATGAGGTTGCGCCAGACTCCACTTCTTTGACCACCATCCTGGGTGCTGTTGGTAAAGGCGATAGAGGTATGCGTGATAGAAGGCTGCGCACAAGCAGGCAACAATCGTAGTGTGTGTTTTATTTGTCGAGTGATGTTGTGCTCGTGCATGTTTGATGGTGGAGAGTATTGTAGAATTCACATTTTATCCTGTCTCGAAGCTACAGCCAAATTATCGGACAAACTACATTCACATACTAATTTTGTGTACATATGGTCCGATGTGGCCACACAGAGTATAATGGTTTGACAGTAGAGCTAACTACGTAGTCTGTTAGTGTCGGCCCTGTCAAATGCGACATGGTGAGTGTTTCATTGGAAGTATTTGATTTACGTATTCGTTTGTTGCAGGTTCTGAACATCTCGATCTCTACGGAGCGGAGGTGCAATGCTTGCGCACCGAAAAGTTCGATATATATCTGGGCAAGGACAACGGCTTAGTCTGTGTTGATGGAGAGCTCTTCCGCATACCCCCATCGGCCTTTCACGCTCCCTGCCGTACTGGAGCTGACCGAATGACAGTCACACAGTGTGATGCCTCCGCCTACAGTGTTCCGTGTTGTGAACCGATAGCTGGATACAGTCGGCCAATTAAAGTGCGCCCCTCGCCTGTGAAGATCACCATGTACTGTGCGAAGTAATAAAGATCTTGCAGATGCAAGGCAACGGTAACTTACGTGCAAATTCCAATCATGACAATAATATACTTTGCCCTCTATTATCACGTGATGACAAATATATACACTCCTCTGCACGTTGCTGCAATTTCATTTTTGTGGGTATTTTTTTATTATAACAGCCACATATTTATGTATGTGATCGTTTTCATCTCTACTTTTGTAATGTGGCTATGAAAATATAACCAGAATTTTAACATCTCAAATTTATAATGACCTATGAGCCCAGCTCCAAAACTCGCTCTTGTGGGATACACACATATAGGTATTCTGCATACTTCTGAAGGCAGAATATATATCCTGCACCAAAATATAGTATAATCTACAGGGTAAAATAAACAGAGGCACTAGAGCGTATAAAAACTACACGCCATTAGCCAGTTCTCGTTTGGTATAATCGCAAGAAAACATTCCGTTTTCAACGCCGGTTGTACAGAATAGTGTATTGAATAAAGTAGTGACTATACAAATCTTGTGATCGAATATCGCAGGTACTTCTGAAAGCAGATGTGGCTTAGATGAGATAATAAGTAGTCATCCAACATTATTCATACGAATTTTTGTTCCCGATTTGAAATCCATTTGGTAGCGCGGACGTATCGATATGCTCTTTCAAATAATAGTTCGAGTATCATCCATTTGGGTGAGAAAACTTTCGGACGACAACTATTCGTCCTGCACCAATAAGACTAATAAGCTCGAAACTCGACTTTTTGACCATCTACCGCTAACGTCGACCACAGGATAAACCTCTTCAAAATTTAAGTATGTGATAAAGCTGGACACAAAACTTTAGGATGCCCTACTTTCATCTATGAATGTCGCTAATTAAAGTACAACACATCAGCAAGAAGTGTACGCTGCATCGAAGAAAACTAAAAAAAGCCGCAGGTGCCACGGCGACGGACACAACAAAAATACCTTCCCTAAACCCTAAACCCCAAAACACATTGAACATGCATAAACCACAACAGAGCCAACTATTGTCGATTAATTTATTGAGCGTAACTACTTCTAGTCTAGGCTAACAACTCTCAACGCAAACCCACCAGTGCCACCACATTATTCAAACCAGAGGCGACAACTAGACAACCACCAGAGAAGTCCATTAGGGGGTTATTTATTGCTTCGACAATGCCACATGCAACCTATCAGTTGCTAACATCCATTCGTCCTAGACAGAGAACCACGTGGGCAGTAAGCCGTAAATCTATGGCTCTCTAGCCATTGGACTGCCACGACGACTCTCATCGTTGACGTTTAGTCCCCTTATCTCAGTGAAAACTCTGTTGAACCCTGAACTTGTCTAAGTCTGAAGTTTTGAACATGCCAAAAAAATAAATTTCAGATCAACGGTTCTATCGAATTGTAACCCAGTAATACTACAAATTTGTCAAAAGCAGCGAATCAATCGGAACCAAAATTCAAAATGTTGACCTGTTAAACAAAATACTGTAATTAAAAATATGTATTAGGTTCACACAAGTTCACACTTCTGTATTTAACAGAACTTCAGACTTCATAGTTCACACTTGGTCGGAGGTTGAATTTTGATTCATATATTTACAATTTCTATAAAAACAAATATATGTCGCGCTCATTCACGGCTCACTGAAAGGCTCCATGGCATATATTTTTTTCTTGGTTGAGTTGACTCGGCTCCTCGTCACAGCCATCTCGTGTTGTTTAAAATAAAGACATTCCATTTGTTTAACCCCCCCCATCCCCCCCCCAAATAAAAATAAAAAGAATTGTGTCTGTCCTTGGAACGTCATTTGCCTATTGTTTTGGCCAGTCCCACTTGTTTCTCTTTGTTGTTTTTAAAAAAACCCCCAACAATGTACATACCGGGCTTCTGCCGGCCTCCACCAGGGCCCGGAAGCCAGGCCCCAGGCCCCAAGGCCCTGGGGCTCAGAGCCGCCCTCAGACCCTGTGTAAATTATGGCCTCGTGCCCCGTATTTTTAGTTTCTCATTTCTGAACTCGGTGTTTTATAAAAGGCCGTAATTAATTATGGCCCAAGCAAAACTTTACTAGACGCCAATAAAATCGCTGATTCGCTGGGCCCGGCTGGGGGATTTCTTCTCGCTGTTTTGATTTTCAGATGACTTTCACTGTTCCACATCTATATAATTAACACTTTCAGTCCACTCCCCTGTCCCCACTGACACTCCCCCTTTGAGAGTGACCCAACCGCGTGTAGCCACTGTTTAGTGTTTATTTAGTGTTCCACTGTTCAGTGTTCAGTGAATCAGTGTTCACTGCCCCTGTGAATAGTCCAGGACTCCCGACCCCCGACTCCCGACTCCCAAGTCCCGATTCCCAAAAGAAATAAAACAACAAGGCTAAAAAAAACTAAAAATATTATTTTATTTGAAGCAAGTAGAACTTGTAGAAGTCACATTTGTAATAAAAACAGTATTGACTTTATTGTTTAAAAAAAAAGAGCATACAAGATAACAAATAGTGATTATAATATCACAAATGTAGATAATATTTAGAAATTTGAACTATCTGTATTGGAAATTAGTTTGAAAAAACAAATCCGAAACGATCATTCCAGGTTTTCAAAAAAAGGTCGTTGGCGCATGAGATATTGGACCGAGTACTTGAGTAAAATAATTAACTGGTTTTTACAAAAACAACTGTGTAATATTTAGTGTACATGTACTCTGCAATGTACATGCTACATATGTACGAATTTCGCTTTCGGATTTGAAAAATATATAAATATAAATCGTCGACGAGTCATGACTCACGACTCACGAGTGACTTTTTTTAAATTCTGTGGAAATCAAAACAGATAACAAGCACATTTGTTTTAGGGTTTAGGGTTTGACTAAAACCGAACAGGGTTGTTTTTAAAAATATAAAAACAAATATGTTCGTTTTCCCGTTTTGTGAATTTGAGTCTCTAATCTGTACTCTCTACTTAATTTATAGTTTTTATATATAAACAAAATAAAAGATAAATACAGTTGGAGTCGTTTTTTTAACAAACAGTGGATATCATATGTTTTGTCCAATAAATAGTTTGGAGTCGACGACATTTGAAAAGTTACAAAGAATTCGCTCGATAGGAGTCGACCCCATGCTTGAATATGCTCGTTACCTACGTGACTCAGCTCCTCGTCTCCACGAGCCTCGGGTCCGCTGGGACTGGGCTGGGCGCCTCGGCAATTCACGTCAGAAAGTTCCTGAACAGACTATGTACATAAATATTTATAATAGTTTATCTCTGGCTTCTTGGATTTCTCGCTGGCCTTTTTGAAAGCAGTTGGCAAAAAAAAAAACAATACGGCAATTTGTCAGAATTTCTGCGTGCTGCAGTAGCGGCGGCGGGTGTGGCCTCACTCGCCTGTGAGGCTGTGGCTGATGACAGTTAACACTTGACAATTGATAGTATTTAGTAATATGTCTTTTTTTGTTGTTTAAAAAATAATTAGAAAATATAAAATATGCAATACCCTCTCGCAGTGTCCACTGCCCAGTGTCGCTAAAACAATAAAGTTTTGTTTTTAAAAAATATTTAGTTTTTATTTTATTTTAAAAAACAATAAAAATTATTCACAGTAGTCATCATTCAGTGAATCAGTGAGCGCGTCGCGAAGCTGCAAATGTGACTGTTTTTAGTTTTAGCGCCGCGTCTGGCTGTCTGGTATCTGGTGACAGTGGTGTGCCGCGAGACTGAGTGCCAGACTGTCAAGTGCCAAGGCTCAAGTGTCATGTCAGTGCCGCCCAGGGGACCAGTAGGCTTAAACTCAACCAAAGATAGTCACAATTTGTTTAAAAAATAATACAAAATGACAGTTGATTCCTGAACCAAAAAGAGAGAGTTTAAATAGCCATAAAAAAAATTAACAAAATTTTATTTTAGATGCTTTTTCTGCTCCCAGCCTCCAGCTCCCAGAATATTAATAGTATTAGTGACCAACAGACCATGTGTGACATAAAGTATTGCCTGACAGTGACTGCCTGTGTCACTGTGTGCCCAAAACAATAGTGTGGTGATTCCGTTGGCGATATTTATTCGACTTTGTTAACCGTGGAACCGTGGGCGTGCTCTCTCTCTCTACTCGAGAGAAAATCACTGACCGAGCGAGTCCGACTCACTCTCCACAGAGTGGTAGACTGAAGAATGCTGACTAAATAAAGTACACTGAGTCACTGACTGTACGCAACTACGCATATTCGTCGCTTCAGATTTCAGATGCTCAATGAATATTTTAATTTCTCAACTATATTCCTCCATATATACGACTGGCTCGTGTACATATAATTCATATTGTACTTCATCGAAAATAATCTAAAGTAATAATTAGAATGATGTCAAAATCAATCATCCTCATTTCTCTGGCCGTTTTTGCCAGTGCCGCCACCACCAACCCCTTAATGGACTGTCAAACACTCACATTCGCATGTGACGAGGGTTTCACGCAAAATAATAACTTGGAAGTATGTTGTATCTGGGAAGGGGCCTGTGATGAAGGAATCCCAATCTGCTCAGAGGAAGTGTGCTGTCGTGCCGAAGAGGAAGTACCTATGGAAAGTTCAGTATACGAAGATATGGACGAGTACTTGATAGAGTACCCTGAGGCCTCCGAGACCTACCCTGAGATTTTCGTCGAAGAAGATACCAAGGAAGACGCAGCCGCAGACATCGACATCGAAAGTCTAATAGAGGGCGAAGAATCAGCTTAAATACATTAACAAACCGTACCTTATTATAAAGTAGTGGAAATAAATATGTAGTAAGTTCGTGACATTTATAGATTGAACACCATCTCAATGTCTTTTCAGTGTTGTCGTTTCAGTAGCGCAAATTCAGTATGCTGTCCTATTGCTTTTTGTTGTATGTGTCACGCCTCGATAGCATTTTGTATGAATACTATGATATATGACTGTTGTGGAATTGCTTACGGTTTTAGTGCTGCATATGCGTGTTGTGTTTGCGAATAAGTTGCATATCTGCACGAGTTCAATAGTTTACTATAGGTACAAGCAAAATCAGAGAAGGCAATGTGTTTTGATGTTTGTACACTGGCATTGTAATTTGCGGTGATTGTTATCATTTTTTACAACAAAATGTTTTCCTTCGGACTAAAACTCAACTTTTCCCGTAAAATCCATGAACATCCATTCTCTCTGAGAGTTCAAAGCCCTCTACGATCTAATAGGCCCTCAACGAGACCCTCCTAATACAGTAGATTGCAAACAACCACTGCTAGAGATTTCTTTAACTTAGCAATGACGACCTTTTAAAGTTATCAATGTAGATGTAGCTGATAATATCACTTGTATATATGTGTTGAGAGGCAGGCATAGATCACGGAGACCCCAAATTCACGCCACTCTAGTTTGTTTTATTGTACTACACAATGCATCACATGAACATCACAGAATTGGTTTGGAGTACTGTTATCAATCAATCCGCTACAAACACCAATCATATTTCATTGATGTCCCCGTTGCCTCACCATGTCTACTCCTGTCGTTCTCCAACGGACGAGCCAGTTCCATCGATACTTGACATGGTCCACTCTGCAAGGCTGACTATTCTGCTCGCATAAGCTAAATCGGCATCTCTCCTATATCTGTTGCTAAAGTTTGGTCACCTCCGGATACTCACCTACAAGTTTTCACGCAAAAGTTCAGGCGCTTCATTACTACACAAGGCGCCGCTGTGACCGCCAGAATCAACGGTAAGGACCACGTCGGTAAACTGTTGATAAGCACTCGCCCCAGTCTATCTATACGCTGAACTCGTGTAGCTAACAAACATAGCAAGTGCTCCTGTGCAGTAAGTAACACAACAATCTCATGGCTGTACAAAGGACCAGTGCGTCTATAAAGCAACTAACCCTTCGGAGTGCGCCGTCGAGTGCTGTCTGTCTTCATAGCGTCCCATTGAGGTGAAGACAACCGCATCGCTACACGCCGCGATGAAATGTCACAGAACGCTTTTCGCGATTGCGTTCCTAAATGCTCGTACTTCTGGCGCTTACCCCACACATCCTCGCACCTTCAGGCGTGTATAGCACTTGAGATTGATATCTGATTGCTTGTAAATTTTACTACCACACATATTCGTTGCATCTCGATACTTCTACCAGCAGCCTAAGGCGCAATACTCCTACCAGCAGCCTCAGGCGCATCTCAGTACTATTAAAAGCAGGCGTAGGGCAAAAGCATTCTCAGCCTTTGGGTCCCTGAACGTTTCACTTTGTCGTTGGCGCCTTGCCCAGATTACTGATCGGTTCAAAGATGCGCAGTTTGACTTCGGGCGAAAGCAGTCGTTTGTACATCTCTCGTGACAGGAGCACACTCTCCAGTGAATCTACCGAAGGCTGTCCTGGCACCTGCCATAGGTCACAAGAAACATTGCAACAAGCACACCATTAGACGGTTGCCATGGCATTCACACAAGTACACACCATACGTGCTACACAAACAGTAGTGGGTCAAATGTCCCACCCCACAGCTGTGGCTTGGCCGATGACAAAATCACTGTGCCGGTTGATTGTAGGATCATCTAGACGCGATACATCTAGCTGTTAGTAGTCGCATAATTGTGCTGCGGGTGCTCTGAGTTTAATATCAGTTACCACGCGTTTAACAAACCCTACCACACGTGCACCACATGGTACAAACATGGTTTAGAAAAACCCTAAAACATGCACCACATGGCACAGCCGTGGACTAGAACAACCCTAAAACCCTAACTACCAGATGACACAGATGGTCCAGAAAACCCTAAAACATGCACCACACGGCACAGACATGGACTAGAACAACCCTAAAACCCTAACCACCAGATGACACAGATGGTCCAGAAAACCCTAAACATGCACCACACGGCACAGACAATGGACTTAGAAACCCTAAACC